GAGAATTTAAGCCAGTGGATCTTAGCTTGTTGGTCTCTGTGGGGGTGGGATCTGCTGAGCTATACCACTTGGGTCCCTAGCTTCAGCCCCTTTTCCAGGGGAGTTAATGGTTCTGTCTCTCTGGCATTCCAGGTGCCACTGGGGTATAAAAAAAGAACTGCAGCTAGCTCAGTGTCTGCCCAAATGGCCACCCAGTTTGTGCTTGAAACTCGGGGCCCTGGAGGTGTAGGCACCTGAGGGAATCTCCCGGCCTGTGGGTTGTGAAACCATGGGAAAAGTGTATTATCTGGGCCAGATAGTACCATCCCTCACAGCACAGTCCCTTACGACTTTCCTTGGCTAGAGGAGGGAGTTCCCTGACTGCTTGCACTTCCTGGGTGAGGCGACATCCCATCCTGCTTCTGCTCGCTCTCCATGGGCTGCACCCACTGTCTAACCAGTTCCAATGAGATGAAATGGGTATCTCAGTTGGAAGTGCAGAAATCGTCCACCTTCTGCATTGGTCTCACTGGTAGCTGCAGATCGCAGCTGTTCCTATTCAGCCATCTTGCCACTTTCCCCAAGTTTATTTGTGTGTTTCTGCCTTTGCCTCTATCCATCCTTTTACAACAGCAATGATCTACTGCCACAGAGGTGCTTTCAATCATCTCCAGCCCCACCATCTCAGATATCTCACACCAGTGTTTTTCCTCGTATTTAAGTTTTCATCCTCACATTTATTTATTTAATAACTACTTTTCATGTATGAAATACGTGCTACATGATGGGGCATAAACATGCAGTACAAATGACAAGCTTTATCAAAATGTTTATATTCTACAACAGAACACGGGAAAATGATACTTAAACAAAAGCAGAAGATAATTACAGTATGTGATTACTTCTTTAAAAATAATAAAATAACTCAGAAACAAAAAAATCAAACACAGGCCAGGCACAGTGGCTCACACCTGTAATCCCAGCACTTTGTGACATGGAGGCAGGAGCATTGCCTGAGGCCAGGAGTTCAAACGCAGGCTGGGTAACATAGTAAGTCCACCATCTTTAACAAAAAAGAAAAAAAAATTAGCTGGGCATGGCAGCACGTGCCTGTAGTTCCAGCTACTCTGGAGGCTGAGGCAGGAGAATCACTTGAGTCCAGAGGGTTCACGATATAGTCAGCCATGAGTGCGCCACTGTATTCTAGCCTGTCTTTAAAAAATATACTGCATATTCTTACTTCCAAGTGGGAGCTAAACAATGGATACACATGGATATAGAGAGAAATAATAAACAAGGGACAGAGGTCGGGCAGGGTGAGGGTTGAAAAATTACCTATTGGGTATAATGTTCATTATTTGAGTGATAGGGACACTAGAAACCCAAACCTCACCATAATGCAATATATACAGGAAACAAACCTACACATGTACACACTGTATCTATAGAAATAAAATAGATTTAAATAAATATTTAAAGCACAGAAATAATTTTCAATGATTAGAAAATAAGCGAAGGTTCAGGTGCAGTGGCTCACACCTGTAACCTCGCACTCTGGGAGGTCAAAGCAGGTGGATCACTTCAGGCCAGGAGTTTGAGCAGCCTGGGCAACATGGTAAAACAGTATCTCTACAAAATATTAAAAAATAAAAATAAATTAAAAAAAAGAAAGAGTGAGAGAGGGAGAGGGAGAGAGAAGAGGTCTACTATTAATAGAGGGCAGAAAAGTGAAGAAAATGCTTCAAGAAAAGTATGTGCATGCACAGGTACGTGTGGGTATGGACAACAATCCAGGATGTCAAAGCTGTAAATACATAATGTACGGCCTTTAAAACTTACAACATAGAGGTCTTTGGTGACCATGTAAAGAATTACAACAGAGTGGTAGAGGAAAAAGTCTGGTTGGAGCAGGTTAAGGGAGAATAGAAGGTGAGGAACTGGAATTGTAAATAGAGAATACTTTAGAAGAATTCTGATATAAAGACGATGTTCAGAAATGGGGTGAGAGCTAAAGAACAGGGACAGAACAAAAAGAGAAGCAGCCACATTAAGGACTTGAGAAAGAGGAAAGGGGAAGAGTGCTATGGGAAAGAAAGAGCTTGGCATGTTTTAAGAAGTGAAAGGTGAGAAGTAAGTAGTTCCTAGTGAGCTAGGTAGAAGGAAATGGATACAATGAATAGGCAAAGCATAAACCAAGGGAGAGGAGAGACCTGTAATCACAAAAAGAACTTTGGACTTTTATTCCAGTTGCAATGAAAACCAAGTAGGTTTTAAAATGAGAAAGTGATGTGATATACTTTGCTTCTCTAATTAGCATACAATATTTCGAAGTCTCTTTTTTACAAGGTTACAATCACCCTACATCCTCACTAAGTAATACCATCTTACCTTTCTGTTCTGCTTCACAGTTTAGCTTCTTGAAAAGGTTCTAAAATCTCTTTTAAAATTTCCTCTTCTATTCACTTCTTAATTCTTGGATTCTATTTCTGTCTCCAACACTCTAATGACACTGTTTTTTACCAAGCTCACATTGCATCTTCCCTGACAAATCCAGTACATATTTTTTAGCCCTCAATATGTTACCTCTCTTCCTGAAGTGCTCTCTTCTTTCTTTGGAATCCATACCACAGCCTCCTAATTTTATCTCTCTCTGTTCCTCATTTTCTTTGCAAACTTCTTCCTCTGATGAACTCTTAGAAGAGTTTCACATAAAGCCCCTACATCAATCTCCAAGTATCTTTTAAATATCTCCTCTTCTCTTTATTACTTTTCAATAACTTAGTTAAGGTCATCATTAACTTTTGCCTAGATTAGTGCAATAGCCTCTAAAAACTGGTTTCAAGGGTATCTACTTCTTACTAAGATGGCACAGAGTAATTAGAGACAGGCTGTTTCCTAAATAATCAAAACAACTGGACAAAATATGAGACGGCACTTTCAAGACATTGTACAACAGATAATAAAGAAAATGGGTCCCTGAGAGAGAAAAAACAAAAACAAAAACAAATGAGATTTCCCTATGATTGCTCCAGCCTTTTAGAGTTTTCAGGCTGTTGCTAATGGGTCCAGCACACTCCCTGAGTTCAGGAGGTAGAGCTGGGATTCCTGGAAGACCAAGGCAAATAGAAAGAGAATTCCAGAGACCTGCAGATGGTAGCCCTTGAGTATGAGCAGAGTGGTGATTAGAGCAAATACATGAGAAAACTACCTAAGTTAGGAAAAAAAGCACCCAAACAGAGAACATAAGAAATTAAATAGTGTCTATTCCTTCCAGCCAAACTGGGAAACCTCATCTTTCCTGTGTAAGAGCACTAAGAAGCATCTTATATTCAAAATGGGGATAATTAGCATTAGACTAAACATGGCTGTGATCTCACCTCACAAATATAAAGACAAGACATGAACGAATCAAATTGAGCCCAAGTATAACTTAACTGCATTCCAGAATAAATCTCCAGAATAATTACAAAAATACAAAAATACCTAGCACCCAACAAGGTAAAATTCAGTATGTCTAACATCTAATTAAAAACAGCCAAACATCCAAAGAAACAGAAGAATATGACCTGTAAGAAGGAAAAAATTCTAACACCTGAAACAGATGTTAGAATTAGTAATTAAGGACATTAATGAAGTTTTTACAACTGTATTCCATATGACCAAAAAAGTTAGAGACATGGTAGATAGAAAACAACTTCTTAGATTTCTGGAGGTGAAAACTACAGTATCTGAGATGAAAAGTACATTGCATAGGATTAATAGCAGATTGAGTATGGCAGAAAATAAAAGACTACCATCTATTAAAGACAGAGCAGTAGAAACTATGCACAGTGAAACACAAAAACAATCTAAAAAAAAAAAATAAAAAGCACCACTGAGGTATGAGACAAGTGAAATTGGAGTCCTTAAAGAATAGAAGGAGGAGGAGGCACAGAAAAAATATTAGAAGAAATGATGGCTGAAAATGTTCCAACGGTGACAACCATAAACCCACAGATATAAGCAGCTCGACGAATCCCAAGGACAGGAAGCATGAAGAAAACTACACCAAGGCACCTTACAATCACATTGCTCAAAACCAGTGATAAAGACAAATCATAAAAGCAGTCAGAGAGTGTCCCCACCCAAATCTCATCTCGAATTATAATCCTGTGTCGAGGGAGGGAGGTGACTGGATCAGGGGGCTCTTCCAAGACGAATTTACAGTCTCTTATGTATTCCTGCAGTAACTTATAATTACTCCTAGCATATTATTTATCAACTATAATAATCTCTTTTCTTGCCTGCCTTTCCACTAGACCGTAAGGGGAGGGACTACTTTTTAAACATTATTATATTCCCATTGCTTAAGAGTGTATTGCATATGGTAGGTACCCAATAAAGAGCTGCTGAATAAATAAATGCTATCAAGTCTTTGGGCTTTTTTCCAATGCAAGAAAAAGTTGTACAAAAATAGTCCATGAAAAAAATTACTTAAAATCAGACTTGTTGATGGTCAGACTTGCCCCTTTAGAATGTAAGCTCCACTAGAGCACGTATGTTTCTGTTTTGTTGCTATATCTCCAGTGCCTAGAACAATGTAAGGAAATATAGGTTCTCAGTAATTATCAGTGAATAAATAAATCATTAAGTCAGATTTTCTCAATACTCTCACTGAATGCCTAAGAGATGTTTCTGAGACACTACTCTGGTTCTCATCAAGAATTATTGGTAGAAACAGATTAATTTAGCATGGTATACAGAGTTAAAGTAATACAATTTAAATATGTATTATTAGTTCCCTCTCTTACACTATATATTTTTGTAGTAAAAATCCTTGCTATTAAGGCTGATTAGTTTTCTCTGTTATTCACATTTCACTGTGAGAGGGAGGCATTTCTACTACCCCAAAAGGAAAATATATAGAATTCTTTCAGCTTCTCTCGATTCTTCTAAATGTTCATTTTTTTCCAGAGTGGTTAGTCTGCAAGTTTACATACATACTAGACCCAAACAGGATATTAATATACTTCTATACATACTTTCAGTTGCAGAGAAGGATGTATCAAGTGTTAACTCATCCAGAGGCATCACAAGTTGACCTCCAGCCTCCCACTTCTTGCGATCACAAAAAACTGATTTTTCTTTTTCATGTTCTTTGGCATCTTCATGAACAATTATCTCAAAAGTATCAGAGGGATGCTGCTTTCCTTTTTCATCTTCTTGAGCTTTAAGATTTTCATTTAATCTGCGAAGTATTTCTCGCTTATTCTGAAAGTTATAACATTATATATTTTAATATTTTAATAAGTATATTAAGTAAAATGATTGACAGATAAATTTTGAAAATTTTACTTACTGAAATGGCATTGTTGGTCTTTTGCATTTCTTCTGAAGTTTCCCGGATATCAGTTAAACTACTGTCCTTTAAATGCAGATAGATACAGGGTAAGAAATAATTTTATTTTTTTAAATCTACCTTTAAAAATATGATATCTTAGTTACTTTTTGCTTTTCACTAATTTGTTCCTTGTAAATTTTTTATACCTGTAAAATGTTAACACAGCTTCCTTCATTATCAGCAATCATTAACCTTTAAATATTATTAATTAGACAATATAGAGAGGGGCCAATTCTCAATTATTTGTCATATTTTTGGATTATTGCTCACATAATTAACTATATCCTCTTGCCTTTTGGCGCCTGATTTTCTGGTATAAGTCAGTGGTAGAAATGAAAGGAAAATTCATGTACTCTCTTAATTACAACTAGAAAAAGTTTTGTTGGATAAGGCAATTCAAAATAGGCTGTATTATTCTAAAACTGTCTTTGTTTCGTATCTATTTATTCTTGTTAAGCCATAGTACTAAATGTAATTGAGAAGTGGCTTTCCTCCCTAAACAAAGAATGTAACAAAAATTAGTTCTGAGTCATTCATACTATAAGTGACATAAATTTCATCTCCTAATTAGTACTGTCAAAGCAATCTAGAATAGGCTACCTAAAATTTAAAAATATATGAAAAGAATAAATTAGCAGTTATGTAAGCTATGAAAGCAAAGGCATGTAGAAGATTCCAAGAGCAATTTTCAAAGTTTTAAGTAAGTGACATTTAAAAATGCAACACAGAAAGAAAACCATTCAGTTATATGAATTACCTCAAATTTTGTAATACTTAAAAAAAAATTAAAAATTTGGTGGTCAGTTTCAAAGTAATATAAGAAGCAATGAGACAAAGAACATTTTACCCAATAAAGTAGTCAGGAATTAGCAGTCCTACAACCAGAGAGGTGAACAGCTAGTTGAGATGTGAGACTGGGTACCACCCAGAAGGGAACCACACAGTGGTATCTAAAGTCGGAGTAACAACGTAGCACATGCAAAATCATTATCAGAAAGAACAGGTGACTAAACCTACTTGAACAACAATAGTTTCTTACATGAAGTTCTTGAGAATGATCAAGAAACTTAGATTTTCCTACTCAGTCTTATTTTCAAAATCAACCCAAAGGCTATATATAAAAAAAAACAAAACTAGTGTACCAATTTTGTCTGCAAATATTTACTGAAACTCAACAAATAAAAGGCACAGACATCCATTACCAGGAAAGGAGAAAATGAGGTTATTATATGATTCAACAGACTTTTCTCCTTCTGTCTGTTGAATTCTAGGCAGCAGCTCCACACTATCAGCCCATATCTCTTCACCCCTGAACTGAGTCTTCTCATTTCAGACAGATATCTGAAATATACTTCTAAGTTTAAACGTTTTGTCTATATTTCTTTTTTTTACTATTTGTATGGCATGATAGAAATTCAGAAGTAGTAGGAAAAAGAAATAACTGATGAATTAACTGTAGTTATACTGAGTCCTCTAACATTTGCTATGTCACAAAATTTGAATAAATGTAAACATGTGTTGGACTTAATTCCTAGAGCTACTTTAGTACCAAAGAGATTTTTTTTTTTAAGTGAATATTTGTTAATCCCGAGGGTTGGACAGAAAAATGTTTGTATTATTATTTTCAGTACATTTCTACGTATATTTTTTTCATTATTCCTTTAAAGTAATTTTTAGAGTTATTTTAATGTATTTTGATCTACTAGGTAGTCCTACATATAAAGCTTATAAACAATGAGACTCCAATATTCTGAGTAAGCTAAAATCCCTTAAAAAATAATTTTTTTCCCCTAGAAACACCTGAAAGGGACATTAGGGATTAATATGATTTCAGGAAATTTAATTTCCTTTTAAATAATTTTTGACTTCGAGTTCTGAATCTTAGGAAACTTACCACGCCAACTTCTTTCAAAGCTGAAGTCACAGAAATAACAGATCTCATCTGTTGCTTTGATGGAGAGCCACCTGTTTCATGTTGTCCCAAAGGTGGAGAAACATCAGAACCCTTTACTCCTTTAGCCACCAACTGTAAAACATAATTTTATTAAATACATTAGGGATTTCATATTTGCATGAAGAAATAATATAGTACCTATCAGATCACTATTTATCCACTCTATCCACAAATAGTTTTTTCATTCCTGAATTATCTGTTGAGCAAGGTATTATGCTACATGCTGGGGACAGAGCAGTGACTACAGAAAAAAACCTCTGGTCTCAGTTGTAAACATAGTCATGTCACATAGTCCTAAATAACCCGCTTCCATTGCATTGTCAATGTTTCATAAAATAATCCTGAAAAATGAACTGTCTTTTAAAGATTCAAGTGTGTGATTTTGTTAATCATGCAGTTCTAAAAGAAATGCTTCTGTAATTTCTGCAGGTTTGGGTATAATCTTCTCTAAGTTCAAATACCAATTTCTCAGCCTAAGGAGCCCTCATAAAAATGCCAACATAAATGAGAATGGAAGGAGGAACAGATCCAGGTAATAAGATTTACTTCACTGAAAATATCATGTTGTATTAACACATGTGCATGTTTTTATCTTGCCATTTAAACTCTAAACAAAGTTAAGATTCTGAACCCTTAATTAATACAAGGAAATGGCATTTATGGGGATGCTAATAGTACACGGCAGGAAGTTTACTCTACTCCCTATTTCCACTCTTCCTCAATCTAGGAAACAAGACTTCCTGGGGAGTATACATTTCAATCACAGTATTATGCCATATCTTCTAAAAATAAAGTAATAGCACAATCCTAACATCTAGGCTTCTAGACCTTCATTTTACACCAATACAGGTGTTATCTCTGAGATATTGTGCACTTAGTTTCAGACCACTGCAATAATGGTAATATTGCAATAAAGTGAGTCACACAAATTTTGGGGTTTCTCAGTGCAAATAAAAATTATGTTTATACTATGCTGTAGCCTATTAAGTGTGCAATAGCATTATGTCTAAACCTCAATGTACACATCTTAATAAACACCTCATTCCTAAAATAATGCTAATAATACTTCTGAGCCTTTAACAAATTGTAATCATTTTGCTAGTGGAGGATTTTGCCTTGATACTGATGGCTGCTGATGATCAGGGTGGTGACTGCTGGATGTTGGGGTGGCTGTGACAATTTCTTAAAATAAGACAAAAATGAAGTTTGTTGCATCCACTGACTCTTTCATGAAAATATTCTTTTTATTTATTTTGTAAAAATATTTTTTAAATTATTTATTATTTAAATAGAGATGGGGTCTCACTATATTGGCTAGATTAGTCTTGAACTCTTGGTCTCAATGATCGTCCTACCTCAGCTTCCCAAAGTGCTGGGATTACAAGCATGAGCCACTCTGCCCAGCCCATGAAAATATTTATCTGCAGCATGCAATGGTGTTGCACTTTACACACAGTAGAACTTCTTTCCCTCTCAAACCCTGTCGCTGCCTTACCATCTAAGTTCACAAAATATTCTAAATCCCTTGTCATTTTAACAACGTTCAAAATAGCTTCACCAGAAGTAGATTACACCTGAAGAAACCACTTTCTTTGCTCCTCCATAAGAAGCAACTCCTTATCCATTCAAATTTATCATGGCGCTTGTAGCAATTCAGTCATATCTTCAGGCTCCCCTTGTTATTCTACTTCATTTGCTATTTCTACAGTCACAGCTACAGTGACCTCCTCCACTGAAATCTTGAACCTCTCAAAGTCATCCATGAAGAATAGAGTCAACTTCTTCCTAACTCCTGTTAATATTGACATTAACATTAACATGACATTAACTCCTTCCATGAATCACAAAAGTTCTGAATGGAATCTAAAATGATGAATGATGAATACATACTTTTTAGAGGGCTTTGAATTTACATTGCCCAGATCCATTAGAGGAATCATTATCTATGGCAGCTACAGCTTAAAAAAAAATTATTTCTTAAATAAGAATACTTGAAAGTCAAAATGCCTTCTTGATACATTGGCTGCAGAAGATGTCGTGTTAGCAGGCATGAAAACAACATGAATCTCTTTGCATAATACATCTCCGTCAGAGTTCTTGGGTAACTAGGTGCACTGTCAGTGAGTAGTAATATTGTGAAATAATTTCTTTCTTTTCTGAGCAGTAGGACTCAACAGTGGGCTTGAAATGTTCACAGTAAACCATGTTGTAAACAGATATGCTGTCATCCAGGCTTTGTTGTTCCGCTTATGGAGCACAAATAGATTTAGCATAATTCTTAAGGGTCCTAGAAGTTTCAGAATGGTAAATGAGCACTGGCTTCAACTTAAAGTCACCAGCCGCATTAGCCCTCAACAAGAGTCAGCTTGTCTTTTGAAGCTTTGAAGCCAGGCAGACTTCTCTTTAGCTAGGAGAGTCCTAGATGGCATCTTCTACTAATAGAAGGCAGTTTTATCTACTCTGAAAATCTGCTGTTGAGTGTTGCCACCTTTATCAATGATCTTAGTTAGATCTCCTGGATAATGTACTGCAGCTTCTCAATCAGCACTTACTGCTTTACCTTGCACTTTTATGTTATGGAGGTGGCTTCTTCACCTAAATCTTATGAACGAACCTCTGCTAGCCTCCAATTTTTCTTCCGTAGCTTCCTTACCTCTCCCAGTCTTCATGGAGTTGAGAAGAGTTAGGGCCTTGCTCTCGAGTAGGCTTTGGCATAGTGACTGTTGTGATCTTCTATCCATACCACTAAAACTTTCTCCATTAACAGTAAGAAGGCTTCCTTCCTCCTTCCTTTCTTCCTCCCTCCATGCCCGCCTCTCTTTTTCTCTTTCATTATTATTTTTTCCTAAGAGATAGGGTCTTTCTCTGTTGCCTAGGCTGGAGTACAGATCCAGGCACAATCACAGCTCACTGCAACCTTGAACTCCTAGGCTCAAATGATCCTTCTGCCTTAGCTTCTCAATGTGGTTGGGACCATAGGTGTATGCCACCACATCCAGCTAATTTTTCTTTTCTTTCTTTCCTTTTTTTTTTTTTTTTTTTTTTAAGAAACAGGTTCTCACTTTGTTGTCCATGCTAGTTTCAAACTTCTGGGCTCAAGCAATCCTCCTGCCTCAGTCTCCCGGGTTGCTGAGACTACAAGCTCCTGGCTGTTTTGCTTTTTTATCGTGTATGTTCACTGGAGTAACACTTTTTTTTTTTTTTTTTTTTTTTCCCGAGATTGGGTCTTGTACTGTCACCTGGGCTGGTGTGTAATGGTGTGATCTCAGCTCACTGCAACCTCCGCCTCCCTGGTTCACGCGATTTTCCTGCCTTGGCCTCCCGAGTAGCTGGGATTACAGGTGCACACCAACACACTCGGTTAATTTTTTGTATTTTTAGTAGAGACAGGGTTTCACTATGTTGGCTAGGCTGGTCTTGAACTCCTGACCTCGTGATCCACTGGCCTTGGCCTCCCAAAGCGCTGAGATTACAGGCATGAGCCACTGCACCTGGCCTGGAGTAGCACTTCAGGAACTTTTCCTTTGCATTCACAACTTGGATAACTGGTGCAAGAGGCCTAATTCTGTGCCTATCTCAGGTTTCAATATGCCTTCATCACCAAGCTTAGTCCTGATTTCAAGTGAGAGACATGCAACTCTTTCTTTCATTTGAATAGTTAGAGGCCCCTATAGGTCATTAAGTGGCCTAAGTTCAGTGTTAGTTTGTCTTATGGAATAAGAAGGTCTGAGGAGAGAGACAGGGGAACTACCCGTCAGTGAAGCAATCAGAACACACACATTCATCAATTAAATTCACCATCTTATATGGGTGCAGTCTGTGGTGCCTCAAAACAATGACAACAGTAACATCAAAGATATAAAGATAATAATGAAAAAGTTTGAAATACTACAAAAATGTGACACAAAGACACAAAATGAGCAAAAGCTGTTAGGAAAATGACACCGACAGACTTGCTTGATGAGGGCTGTCACAAAATTTCAATTTGTAAGAAATGTACTATTTGTGAACCACAATAACACAAGGTATGCCTGTATTTATTTTGTTCAAAAAAGAATAAAAACATTGCTTTAGTCCCACAGTTGAGCATTACTGAAAAAGTATACTGATGTTTAAGATGTTACTACAAATAACTTTTACAAATATCTAGAGCTCACATAACAGTATTCTCTATCACCTTGAAAGATTCTATCAAAATATTTTGAAACTTTGTTTAATTACTATAGAATATAAATTCAAATAAGGTTTGATACATTGAGGGAATAAAAACAAGCTCCAAAGCTGTTCTGAATATTAGCAGTATTTTTAAAACAAAGATGCTATTTCTCTAGTTGATTATTTAAAAGAAATATAATTTGAATATACAAATTCTGCCATTTTAATTTAAATCTGTCATTACTTCTCTACCATATACTAGGATTACAGGTGTGTGCCACCATGCCTGGCTAATTTTTGTATTTTTAATAGAGATGGGGTTTCATCATGTTGGCCAGGTTCGTCTCAAACTTCTGACCTCATGATCCACCTGTCTTGGCCTCCCAGAGTACTGGGATTACAGGCGTGAGCCACCTCGCCTGGCCTGCTATTTCAACACATGAATCTGACATGATTTCTGTGAGAAGACAAATTGATAATATTTGATAAAAATTAATTTACTGATAAATGAAAATATGTATTAATACCTATTAAGTGTCAAGCACAGTTCTGGATAATGATATCCAAAATGAATTAGACATAATATTTTCTCTAAAGGGATTGTAAGTTAGAAAAGAAAAAAGAGCATATAAATCAATCAGTATGTTATAGAGGAAAAAAATAATGAGATGTGTACTAAATCATCTGGGGAAGAATGAAACAAACAAAAAATATAGAAAGAACTAACTGTGTAAAGCCAAGAGGGGCATCAGTGAGAACAGCCTTTGCAGGGCAGCCAATGGTCACCATGCAAGTAGCCATAAAATACAGATGTAGGACAATTCTACATTCAAATCCCAAAACATTCACCAGTCCTGTGATTTTTCATTGTCTTTATCCTGTCTGAAGCTCAGTTTTTCTCTAAAATAGAAATGCTGTACTCATTGCCTTTCTGCTATAGGGATTACATGAGATAATTTATGTAAAGTACACAGCTGTGTACCTGATAAATAGGAGCAATTGTTATTTATTTGGTTTCCATTAAATAAGGTTATTTGGCTTAAACACCAAAAGTCTGGTTTTAGTTCCTGATGACATGTATTAAGTTTTAGAATGCAAGTTTCTGATCTTTAGAATGCAGACTAAAAACAAAAACCTCCTATCTTAAGCATGATCAGAAATTAAAATTTAGGCATTTTGAGACACAAATTTATTGGCACTTGTATAATGATCTTCAGCAGCCTTCAGTAAATGCTTATGGTCTATAATCAAATGCATACTGGTCTCTCCTCTGGGTCAACTAAACCAAACAGATTAGAAGAACCTCAACAGACAAATTCAGACACAAAATCTAAACGAACGAACAAAGACTGATTACTGACTCTTATAATCACTTAAAAAAGAAAACGAAGTTACTGAAAATTTATGACTACTGCGATGTGGCAACACCATCATAAGCTAATGTCACATACATATAAGTAACTTATTAGTACAGTTAAATTGGGCCTTCTGCATAAACATCATGGATATATTATTCGTAATCAGGACCTTAAGGCTGTTGTTCAATATTAACTACACCTTTAGATATTATGATAATATACTACTAATTATTGAAAGATAAACCACTACACTAAGGCTTTAATATGGAAAGCTGAATATGACAAATCACAAATATTAACCAAACCAGGAAAATAATGTAAAGTTTCACATAAGAAAAAATATAAGATTTTGGAACAAACAATGACCCAATTTTATTACACCATTGATCACCCAGCTAAATCTGTAATATATATTTCATTCTAAACACATTTCTTCACTGGGTGTTTGGGAGGCTGATGCAGGAGGAACATTTGAGCCCACGAGTTTGAGACCCAGATAATTTTCTTATTTCTTGTAGAAATGGAGGGTAAGACTCCATTTCTAAAAGAAGTAAGAAAATTAGCTGGGTGTAGTGATGTGCTGAGGGTCCCAGCTACAGACAGGCTGAGGCAGGAAGATCCCTGGAGATCAGTAGGTCGAAATTGCAGAGAGCCATGTACACACCACTGCACTCCAGCCTGATTCATAGAGCAAGACCCTGTCTCAAAACAAAACAAAACAAAACAAACAAAAGCACAGTCTTTCGAAGTTTAATCACAGTTTTAAATATAAAAATTTGCAAAAGAAAAATAAAACATTGACCTGAAAGTTTCATTATTGAGGCTTAAAAGAAATGCTTTAGAAGCTTTTTGTTCTTGGTCATTTTTCTCACAAGGTTCATAAATTGAAGGCTTTTCAACATCGCTTGTATTGTCAAAAAAGGTTTTCAATTATCACTGCAAAACTGCTTCTAATTCATGTGTCAATTTTATTATGTGCTGAAAAATTAAGCAGCAGCGCCACCAAATGACAAAACTCAAAATTTCACCAAATAGTGAGGCGAGGCTTATAAACACATGAAACCACCAGTATGCCTGCTCTTGATGCACAGATCAGTAACAAACATATTTTCATCTTTGTGCTAACTTATTAGTAAGGATGTAATGTATGTTAGGAAATTATTCTTAAATGGCTTAATTTCATATTTTGAATACAGAGTAATTTCACACACAGTTTTATACAGCCTAAAGATATATCACGGCCAAATTTTACCAAATTCATATTTAACTTCGCAAAACCTTCTCTTTGAAGAACCAATAGTATAAAAGTATTTGTATTTGAATAAAGTTTCTTAACTAATATTGCTATAATGCTTTTATAAGAATGTCTAAGAATAAGAACACATGGTAGCCAGAGCAATAAGTGTATATACCTTGGGGAAGCCTTACACGTATGCATGAAAAGTCTAAAAATAAGACAAAGATGGAAATAGAAAACACACAGGAATTTATGTTCAAAATATTTTATCTGACCTAACCAAGACAGAATCTCCTGAATTCTATTTTTTACTAAATTTTTATTTTTATTTATTTATTTATTTATTATTTTTTAAAATTATACTTTAAGTTCTGGGGTTCATGTGCAGATTGTGCAGGACTGTTATATAGGTATACACACGCCATGGCGGTTTGCTGCACCCATCCTCCTGTCATCTACATTAGGTATTTCTCCTAATGTTATCACTTCCCAATCCACCAACCCCACTATCTCTCCCCTAGCCCCCCACACCCCTTCTTTTGAAAGTGTTCATATTCTTTGCCCACTTTTTAATGGGGTTGTTTTTTCTTGTAAATTTGTTTAAGCTCTTTGTAGATTCTGGATATCAGCCCTTTGTCAGATGGGTAGATTGCAAACATTTTTTCCCATTCTGTTGGTTGCCGATTCACTCTAATGAATGTTTCTTTTGCTGTGCAGAAACTCTTAACTTTAGTTAGGTCCCATTTGTCTATTTTGGCTTTTGTTGCCATTGCTTTTGGTGTTTTAGTCATAAAGTCCTTGCCTATACCTATGTCCTGAATGGCATTGCCTACGTTTTCTTCTAGGGCTTTTATGGTGTTAGGTCTTATGTTTAAATCTTTAATCCATTTGGAATTAATTTTTGTATAAGGCGTAAGGAAGGGGTTCAGTTTCAGCTTTCTGAATATGGCTAGTTTTCCCACGACCATTTATTAAACAGGGAATCTTTTCCACACTGCTTGTTTTTGTCAGGTTTGTCAAAGATCAGATGGTTGTAGATGTACGGTGTTACTTCTGAGGCCTCTGTTCTGTTCCACTGGTCTATACCTCTGTTTTGATACCAGTACCATGCTGTTTTGATTACTGTAGCCTTGAACGTATCTCAAAATAATAAAAGCTATTTATGACAAACCCACAGCCAATATCACCGAATGGGCAAAAACTGGAAGCATTCCCTTTGAAAACTGGCACTAGACAAAGATGCCCTCTCTCACCACTCCTATTCAATATAATATTGGAAGTTCTAGCCAGAGCAATCAGGCAAGAAAAAGAAATAAAGGGTATTCGATTAGGAAAAGAGGGCGTCAAATTGCCTCTATTTGCAGATGACATGATTGTATATTTAGAAGATCCCATCGTCTCAGCCCAAAATCTCAAGCTGATAAGCAACTTCAGCAAAGTCTCAGGATACAAAATCAATGGGCAAAAATCACAAGCATTCCTAAACACCAGTAACACACAAAAAGAGAGCCAGCATGTTGTCAGAGGGGTGAAGGGAGCAGAGATACACTCCCACCTACACTTTCTGTTGAATTCTGAGTTCCTCAAAGGTCGCTATCAACCTTTCTTTCTTTCTTTCCACCCAATCTTCTTCACATGGGT